CAAGCCGAGTCCTAGGCACAAACACGCCTGAGCCCTCGTTTCTCCATCTTATTTCATGCTATGCATTGACTGTCACCACACAGGCCCCTTTACACTCACTCCGTCCACCCGTCCACATCTATTCTGCCCACAGTTCATTCCACACGTGACATGGAAGGTGCTGTGCGGAGAACACACTCCCGGGAGAAGTGGGTGAGCTCTACGGGTCTGAGCCCATCCCTGCCTCGGCCCCGGTGCCCAGCCAAACGCACGGCTCACCGTTTCCCCACGCACCAGGGTGTCTCCACCTCATGTTCCGTCCAGGGGCTCCTTTTGCCTAAATGTCCTTCCCCGAATCCTGGCAGGTGACCCACCCTCCAGAGCCACCTCAGCTGACCTCCTCCGGACACCTGCCTCCTCCAGCGCCCACAGGGAGGTGGCCATGGCCCCGGCCCGCCCCTGCCTGCCACCCCAGCACGTGGGGCCGGGTACCTGTCCTCCCGGCGGCTCCTGAAGCATCTCCCACCCCCCTCGGAGCCTGTGGTCAGGGTGGTGCTGGTCTGTGGGATGCACCAGCACCAAGCCTGCCCTCCCGTCCCAGCTGCGCCGCGGGACAGTGGCAAGCAGTGCCTCCTTTAGGAAGAAGCGAATGGAACCGCATCGCAGCTGCCAGGCCCTTGGAGGGAACAACACGTTCTCCACCCAGGCGGTCGCTGGAGGGACCTCCCTTCCACGCGCAGTGTTTCTGGAGAAAACCACAGAGGCAGTCGTCTCTGATAGGAACGAATCGAGAACGCCCGGGCAGCCGTAATGCGCTTGTTGGGGAACAGAGGCAACACCTGGGGAGCGGGGAGAGCCTGGGCCGCGCTGCCCTGACACAGGCTGTTCTGCCAACAACCGTGTTGACTGAGATGAGTTTGAAACCTACAGAGAACAATTTCCCATTGTCCATGAAGAAGATTCCCTGCGATGGGATTAGCGTCTTCACTGTCTAATTACTGTCTCCAGCTTCTCACCTTGGAGCCAGAGACGCGCCCTCACAAGCCCTGGCGCAGCGGGAGGGGCAGCGAGAGAGGCCTCGGGATGGGACCAGGAGGGGATGGGAGGGCGGGAGGGGCCGGGGCCGGGAGGGGCCGGGCCGTGATTGATGAATGAAAGATTCCACACTCCAGAGCTACAAGGTGATCTGAGGCGGGTTTTGCATCTTTAAAATGTTACCCGTGTTAAATGTTGAATAAAATGCTGGTACACAAAGTATTCTTCATGGGCTGTGATTATGGCTTGCCTCCTTGTCAGTGAGAACACGCACCCCACATGCTCAGTGTCCCTGAGGGAGGAAGTGGAGATGTGGCGGTGAGGACGGGCGTTCCCGGGGCTGGCGCTGCTGCGTGCGGGCCGGGCCTCTCCCACATTCGCCGTGGCCTCGGCGTCTTCCTCCCCATCCAGCATTGTCGAGCCGCACGTGGCATGGGATAAAGATGAGCCCATCCTGCCCAGGCCGTGGCTCAGTGGGTTACTGCATGCTCCCCACTGGGGATCCAGCCTGCTACCCGGGCCTGTGCCCTGACCAGGAATCAGCTGTGACCTTCTGGTTGCTAGATCCACACTCAGCCACTGAGCCACACTGGCCGGGCTAGTCCAGTGGTTTTTAACGAAGAGAAGGGTCGGAGGGCAGAGGGGACGGCAAACCGCACAGTGAGTCCCTGTGCTAGCGGCGGTGTCCTCTCCCTGGAGAGGGTTTGAGGGGTAGGAGGGGGTGAGAAGGTGGGCGGTCACCACAATGCCACCTGGTGAGCACTGTGAGCCAAGCACAGGCATTGCGGGGGGGGGGGTACCGGAAAAGCCCGCAGCACTGCGGCAATGCCCTTCACCGGACGCTCCTGTGGCCACCGTGCCCTTCCCCAGACCCTCACACGCCCGGGACCCTCACACGCCCCCGGGACCTTCACATGTCCCCGGACCCTCACTCGCCCCGTGACCCTCACACACCAGAGGCAGCGCTGCCTGGGGGTGTAAGTGCGAAGCGGTGGAGCCCCCCAGGCTCGGACAGAAGCTGAGAGTGTCCAGCAGAGCCGTGCCCAGGCGATCGGGGCATCGGTGGGAAGCGAGGCACATGCTGTGAGCACAGAGCCCATCTGCTGGGAGCGGCCGAGCAGCGAGAGGAACGGCTGCATTAAACCCTCAGACCCCCAGCCTTGATGCCGGCGCCTCCAAACCAAGTCTCCTGACCCCCTGGTCGGCGAGGCCTTCTCTGGCCCCTAATTTAGCAGCAGGAGGGGCCTGAGGACCGGGAGCCGTCTCCGTGGCAGACAGAGGCCCTTTGTCTAAGCACATCTGTCTCCACGTGCAGAGGTGACTCAGCCCCCAGTCCGAGCCGCTCCGGGGCAGCACGCGAGGGGAATTCATGAGAGTGGGCGGTGCCCCACCCACACTCCCCTCCTCCGTCATCGCCGACACATGGCCCACTTCCACCACAGTCATCCCCGATTTATTAATTTGGCTCACAAAGAGGCTCACAACAAAGGTGTTGAAGGCCAATCAGGGGCCGGCCCGGTCGGGGGGTGGGGGGGAGCTATTGGGGCCCTGATTAGGCCAGTTGGATGCCGCAATGTGTGTCGTAGCCACTGGTCATTCCTTCCAGCACAGTCATCCCCGAGACACCCCACTTGCAGCACGGGCTCTGAGTAACTGCTCTTCAGGGAGAGGCCTTTCCTAGAACACACTATTCCCTCTGCGGGGCCTCCTGGCTGTGCAGCCTCCGGGGAGCCGGGTCTGGGCCAGGAGCGGCCGGCGGGACAGGGACCCTCCGAGCCCACGGCGCCCGAGGACAGTGACCGTCCTTCCAGGTCAAGCCCAGTGGGGCGGGGACAGGACAGGGAGGAAGCGGCAGGTGACCGTGCTGCTCCCATCGGTCTCAGGCGACCACAGCCAGCAGAACAGAAGGGCTGTGGTTCCCTCCAGCCGCCCCTCCCTCCCTCCGTCCACTATCCCTGCGCCTGGGCGCTGGTTCACTGATGTCACCGGCACAGAAACGCACTCGGGGCGGCTACCTGCACACACGGCCTCTCTGACGGCGGCGGCAAGGCTGGCGCAAACACAACCACGAGGCTACAAAAAGCTAATCACACGACACAAATCACGCCTCGCCCGGCTGGAACCCCTGAGGAGGTGGTGTTCACTCCTCGCTACAGGCACGGACCAGGCTCGGCGACATCATGGGGGACCAGCCCAGCAGTCATCTAGCTTGTGAGCGGCAGAGCTGGGACTCGAACCACGGCCGTCTTACTCCAAAGCCGACTCTTCCCTCCGAAATCAAGGGGTGCTTCCCGCCCTCGGCGGCCCTGACACCAGGCACGGGGCACACAGGGCTTCCCTCTGAGCCTCCTGGGTCTCACTGTCTCCAGCCTTGTGTCCAGACAGATAAGTGCATTACAGTCATATACTTCCCAGCTCTGACCTCTGACCCGTGGTCCCGACTCCACCCCAGCATTTTAAAATATTAGCGGCCAAAGACGAGGTGCCCTGTCTACCACCAACCAGTCTCTCCCACGAATCCTCCAGGGGTTGGGGGTGACCCGCATTTCACTGAAGGAAGCAGAAGACCCATAACACAGAAAAGAGGCCCAATGTGCACGGGTTCGAGTCATCAGCCGCGTGTAAATGAGCTGGCACCCACCTGCCTGTGCCAGGCGGTGGCCCGACGTCCTGCAGGTCAAAGGATCCGCATCGAAGGTGCCCTGGGTGCTCGAGTCACCACAGGGAGACAGACGCTGCCTCTCTCTGGCAGCCGGGCGGCCGGGGCTCCTGCTTTTAAGCCCAGCCCAGTCCCGCGAGGCGCTGATGCTGGGAAGCGAGCGCGTTATTGTAAGCACAGAGCCCATCTGCCGGGGAGGCGGGCACGGGAAGTGCCGCTGGGAGCGGCAGAGCCACGAGAGGGGCGGCTGCGGGATTCCTCCTCAGGAAGCCCTTGCCATGGGAGACCTGAGAGCAGTCCGCAGCTGGAAGCAACATGTGATCCCGTAATGGCTTCCAGCCGAAGCGAGGAGAGAGGCACACAGGCTATCGCAGAGCCGGTCTGTCATTCTGTGTCTACGGGGCTCACGGCAACGAGGGCGGCTGAGCCACCACCTCAGTGCCATTTCCCATCACTAACGTGTGGAGGCCTTACCTGTGCAGGCGGGGCGCTTGGACTTTCCATCTGCACCACAGTCCTGTGCTCAGATGATGTCTTTACTCCCACTTTGCAGATGAGGAAACTGAGGCCAAAACCATGGAGAAACGTGGCCAAAGCAAGCAGGGGAGCCGGGAGCAGAACCGAGGCAGCCTGACCTCCGTGCCAGTGTCCTGTAGACAAAAGGGGGAAAGCAGGTGATTTCGGGGACCCCTCTGAGCACTACCAGTTTACATCCTTTCATTATTGACAAAATCAGGGGGGAAAAAAGCAGATTCAGGAGGGGTTAGGATGGAACAGGAAGAACCCCAACCTCAGCTCTAAGACAATGCACACGTGTGCGAGCGGAGGACGGAGGCCGAGTCCTGCTGCGACCAGGGACGGAGACGGCCGATGACAGACACGAGAGTCACCGAGCGACCTGGGTGGCAGGCGAGCACAGAAGCAGCTCCTCTCAGCAGGCGGACGATCACAGCCAGAGCGCCCATGTGTGTGCGATGTTGACACGGCTGGACCCGACGATGGTGTTGACGCATTGCCGGCTGCGGGTGATGGAAACATTGTTCACCCTGCGGCGTGGAGCGTGTGGGGAGCCTGCGCGTGTGAGCTGGCCGCTGAGGAATGTGGGAGACTCCCGCCTGGCTGCTGTGGAGGGCGAGCCAGGGTGACACCACCCCCGGGAGACAGAAGTCTGGAAGGACACGCGTCTGCAGGGAGGCCCAGCCGGTGCCAGGGGTCGGGGTGGCAAGGACGGGATGGCAGACTGTCTTGGGGCCACGCTGCGGGCTGCATGTGGAACCCCCGTGGGACCCCACACAGCCCTTGGGGCTGTCAACACGCATTCCAGTGGTCCCAGGAGCAGCGAGAAGTCACGGTGACCCAGCGCCTCATCCAAGAGGCCCCAGTTGCTACATCAGCAAATCGGAGCAGCACATCTGGAATAACAGGTTCCCAGCTGGCTTCATGCTGACAATGTTCCCGCATCCTCTGCTCTCGGGATCCTTATGGTGTGGCCCTGGCCGGTGGTTCGGTGGTTAGAGAGCCGGCCTGCAGGCCAAAGGGTCGCGGTTTTGATTCCCGACCAAGGGCACAGACCTCGGCTGCAGGTTCGATCCCTGGCTCCGGTCGAGGCGGGAGGCAGCCAATTGATGTGTCTCTCTCTCATCATTGTCTCTCCCTCTCCCCCTCCTCCCTCCCTTCCACTCTCTCTAGAATTGATGGAAAAATATCTTCCCTCTTCGGGTGAGGGTTTTTTAAAGCGGTGTTTCTCCCT